AAACAAACAACAAGAATATCCAGCAGTAGTAGGATGTCAAACTGCACCAAGGCTGAATGCAGAGCACTCAGCACCTGTATTCATCTCTGCAGTCATCTCTGATCTCAATCTCTGATTCTGATTCAGAGGTGAGCGAATTCATAGAACACATGCACAAAGGGAGGTTGCCAAGCAATTTGGAGCCTGGAACACCTCCACCAGGCTATGAAGGTAGAAAAACAGCTAGCCAAGGTAATTTGTAGCACTCACTTCTTTGCCATACTTAACGGTGATAACGCATGTGATGTAAGTGCATTTAAGGGAGGGATGTTTCACTGATAGTTCTGGAAAACAACGGTGGGCACTGCAGACTATGTAAGCTGCCTCTGCATTAAAAGCTGTCTGTTTCAGCAGTGTTCAGCCAAAAGCAGGGCCAGGAAGTAATGCTAAGATGGGGAAAATGGGGGAGGTATGAATTACATCTTGCAGTAACTGAAAGAGTGACAACTTGAGGGAAAGTTTTAGGAGAGGAAAGCGACTGACACAGATTCTGCCTCAGAGCCATCTCATGTTTTTTGTGATCTCAGTATTTGAAGGTTTTTTTTTTTTTTTTTTTTTTGTTACCAATATACTTTAATATATTCGTTATACATCATACCATATCCTGTCTTTGTCTGACTTTGCATAACTAGCCTTGGGCAGATCAGATGTATCCAGGGCAGGATGCAGACGTGACACCCATGGCAAAGCTACATTTGGTGCTCTTTTTTACACATCATTTGACTCTCAGAATATGCTGTAATGGTCACAGATAATTAAGTTGTGAGGGAGCGCTGGCTTTCTTGGTTTATCTCCTATGTCCTGGGGGTAAACCTGAACCTTTGATCTGTGCAGGGCTCATGATAAAGTCACATTGTATTTTGGAACGGAGGGGAAGGGGAGGGGGGAGCCTATGTTTTGTGGACCCTGGCTTGGAGGTAATAGGAAGATAGGTATGCAGAGGCACAGCCAGAACAATTCCAGTCAAGACCTGGATCTAGGTTGAATTTGTCACATGCTATGTATATGATTCCCTTTGACTCCTAATAAAATCCTAGCCTTGTATCATTTCAAAACCTTGTTCCCTTACAAATGCCATGTTCCCTTACAAATGGCTCAGATATCAGCTTGATATTATTTTGAATTTTAACTCAGGTCAGGGCATCTGGAAGTGCATTTCATTTCCCTTCTGTGCCCCTCTTTAGGGGGGGGGACACTGATTTGTTAATGGGGTTTCATTCTTTTATTTCAGATTGATCCTTCCCCAACTGATGTCATGATTAGTAACTTCAAAGTCAGATAAAATAGAGAGGCAGATCTCTGCAACAGACAGGAGATTAAGCAACAAGTTAGCAGTACTGGAAGAACAAAGCTCTTATTTTCATGCATATATCCACAGTTAAAATGAATAAAGAGAAGGGAAGGTGGAAAGTAGATGATACGTTGGATTTATTACTCAAAGGATTTTTGCTCAAAGTTTTGCAAGAGGCGTCAGTGATGCTTTAATCTCTCATCTCTGGGTTTGTTAGTGCCACGTTATATCCTGGCCATGTCAGAATGTAACACAGAGTAATGAGACAAGATCTGTTGGATGAGGCTTTATGTAGCATGAAAAGGTTCCTCTGCTCTCTCTTTTTATTATTTACATTCCCGGAGAAGGTTACGTGTCATGTGGGCTTTGCAGAGATAAATGGGTAACCTGAGCTTTCTGGCAGCTTCCCCAGAACTTGGGGAGGATTCTGCCTAAGAGTTGGCTTGGGAATTTTGAAGCATTGAGCTCAACCCTGGGTCCTGAAGGAAGTATATAAGAACATGTGTCTCAGTGTCCTGAGCAGGTGCCGTATGGCACAAGCTGGTATCAAAAGGCTCAGGACTGAAATGGCACGTCAGAACAGTAGCTGAGGCCCAGTGGAAATCAGAGCACTGCAGTCATGGGGCATGGTGAGTCAAGGATGACTGTAGCAGCTCAGCTAAGTGCACAAATCTTGACTGGCGCCTGCCAGTTCGTGTCCTGAGTGGGGCTGGCCTGCACTGCTGCACGCTGCTTTCCTAAGTTCTAACGTTTATCGTGGTTATTTAAAGCCACTTCATGGCAGACGAATTACAGGATATGCATTAGAGTTATAGGATCGAGCGACTCCTGCCTGTTGAAGAGTCACATGTCTGTTTCTCAGGTGTGTAAAGAGTAACAAGTGTTATGACCATATCACCATCTCTCTGCTCTGTTAAGTGCTTGGTTAGTCTTCATGCTGCAGAGCACAGCGTTTGTCTGTGATCTGTGGGGGGGAGTGGATGCATAACAAGAGCTGCAGTTTGCCTGCTGGTGTGTACCTTTGTTGCATCTCTCCTTTGGATGAGGTGTTGGCATTGCGGATGTGTCCGTCAGGGAGGGGAGCTTATAAAGGGGACTTTAAGTGGAATAGAGAGAGTTCCCCATCTGGACCCTATGGGTCCACCATTTCCTGGGGTTTAAGATCAGGAAACTTTAGAAGCTTTTGTCATATTGAATGTTAGACAGGGGTGTATCAGTCTTGAGAAGAACAGAATTTGCATCTCTGCCGGTCTCACAGTATCCTCAATTAGCAGAATTATGGCAAACCTTACATTTCTGAGACGAGAAAACCCTTTCCTATGGTTTCTTTTTCTCTTGCATTAACTGAAGAAAGAATCTCTCAGTTAACATGCTGCATGCTTTCCCGATGTATAGAAGAGACAAGAGTTGTTAAAGCTGTTTCGTCAATTGCGAGAGAGCGTGTTTTATTTTGCTTTGTGCTATTTACAGCTGTTGTCCATTAGGAGTCCTCAAGAGCCTCATTCTCAACTACAACAACACAGTCCCATAAGTTTAGCTCAGCAATGAGCCTGCAAAACAGCACTAAATCATGATGATGGGAGAAAGAAGAAAATGTTTGGACGTAGCAAAATGCAACTGATGCCTTTGTGAAAAATAGTTTTTGCTTGTTGCTGCTTTAAAGCATTTCTAAGGTAGATTGTAATGCACACCATCTAGCTAGAGCAGAATAGAGATTTTTTTAATACATATATTAAATTAAAAAAAGCAGAACTAGTATTTCTCTGTTGACTGAAGGGATCTTTTACAGTCCATTGGGCTCTTATGTATACACATCCCTGAAAATATACAAATCTCAGGGTAAGGTGCAAGAATGATTTAAAAATAAAAAAAATAACATATGGATATTGAGTAGCAGAAGTTCCAGTTGCTTTACTGGAACGCAGGATGATTGCTTTGTATGAATTTGAGTGGAGACTGGATATGCTCACCAAATGCTTAAGAATGGGGAGGAGTACAAATGGGATTGCTTCCAAATCTGTCTACATCCCTGCAGGGAAGTTGGACCAGATGACCTTTAAGGGTCCCTTCCAACTCGAGAGATTCTATGATTCTACCTCTGTGTTTCACATTAATTGAGTAATGGTTTGTAAAGCAGTTAGAAAGCTGAAGGACAGTTTTGGGAGCTGAGGACGCAGGAGTGCAACTTGCTAAATCAGCATTGGTTTACAAGGATACTCAGATGATGCCTTTGATTGTTTTCTGTCCCTTTACTAGACAGCCTGTGCTCTGACAGAGCTGGAAAAAACATCATGGCATAGTTGTGATTCCCTGACAGATACTGGCTTCCATTACAGCAGATCTGTCAGGTTGACTTGTGACAGAGGCCTGAGACTGAACACTCAGAACAGTCACAAAAGGATAATTTTAAGACACATCATTGCTTTGTCCTTTTCTTTTATTCTCTGTGCCTGGCAGGTGTCTGCCTCTGTCTTCTTCCATTGCCTTGGCCTGTCTATGGATTTTGCTCAACACAGATGGGATCTTCAAAGAATCTGCTGTCAAATTTGGTCTTTTCTAAGCATATGTATACAGAGAGTTTTTGGAGATGTATAACTAGGCTGAGTGTGGGTGCTTTTTCACAGGAATGGCAAATAACATATCTGATAACAAGGCAATTTTCTCTGCCAAATTGCAAGTCTACTTTGAAGTAGGGGTTCATTAGAATTTATGAACTGTTTAGTAAGATTTTGTCTTTCAAACAAGAAGACATTATCATATCTCTGCAGCTTCTGCGCATACCATTCTCATGCCTTTGCTCTGTTTTACAGACAGTCGTCCTTATGTCTTTCTGATGGCCCGTGTTCACCCTGGTGAAAGCAACGCCAGCTGGGTAATGAAGGGGACCTTGGAGTTCCTTGTGAGCAGTGATCCCATTGCTGATCTCCTGAGGAAATGTTTCATTTTCAAGATTGTCCCCATGCTCAATCCTGATGGAGTCATCAATGGCAAGTGCGTTGCAGTAACATGTTCACTGTGAATTTTCACTGGGTTTGCCTGCAGGCTTTACTGCTGTCCACCTAGCAGGTCTTGTCTTCAGTGTTTTGGCCCAGAATTCCCGTTGTCTTGTGCTTTATTCATCCTCTGATCAGTCCCATAAGGAGAATGTAAATCTTGGATACAGCTCAGTGTGCTGTCTCATACGTGTCAGATGTTCATGGTTCTGTACCTGTGTGGGGCCCTACAGTGTCCTGGGTGGAGTATTAGTGATAGCAGACAAATTGAATTTTACTTGCTGAATGGAAAGCTATCTATTTTGCCAAAACAGCAGGGCAAACTTTATCTGCAAGCTGATATACCTGGGAATAACTGGCTTTAATTAATGCTTTATATAGCTTGAATGGGTGAAAGATATGTAAGGATCTATTAAATGCTCATATCTTCGTGGAAATGTTTCTATATAATGAAACTCCCTCCTTCTCCTACCTCCTTTTCCCTCTTCCCTCCCACATGCTTCTGAAGAGATACAAAGTCTTTCTGGGTTTATGAATATACCATGAATATAACAATTCCGTTTTGCGTTCTGCAGAGCTGTCTTTACATTGCTCCTGCCCATCCATACTAACCTTCCTAGGGATGGAAAAAGTCTTGCTATGTTAAAATGAAACAAAATAAGGATTGCTGTGCAGCTAGTGAAAGAGTAATTCCTCTGAGGGGTTGGCGAGTGCAGTAATATATGGTATGCATGCACTTTGCTGGGGAAAAAAAAAAAATCTACTGTCCTCAAGGACAGTGGAGTTTGCTCATTTCATTGAGTACTTGCACAGTGATTGTGAGCTGTGGGTTGTTTATAAGACTTAATTGTCTCTGATGTAGAGGCAGGATGTTATGATCACTTAACAAGGGGGAAACTTGCTTCTTGACCTGCTAACAAGGGCTCGTAGGTTTCAGTAAGAACTGTTGCAAAGCTTGTTGGAATGGATTCTGAAACCTGAAGGCTGGTTTTAGACAAGCACTGAAACACGTTGCACAATATAGAGTAACAATTTTTCTTCAACTACAATCATTCATCTGGTTTCAGATCAGGTTGTGCTGATCAAGTGCTGAAGAAACAGGAAAAAGACCCTAAGCAAAAACTTTAATTTGTTTGGTCCTAATCTAATCCCTTTTGGACTTGGGTGAGGACCTCAGCAGAGGGCAGCTTAGAGTGTTCTTAGCCTCTAGTCCGTGACTATGAACATAGGTTTTGTGTTGTTATGCTCCCCAGGACATGAGTGTGCTGTAGTTTGGGAGGGCTGTTTGGAGGAGCTGGATGCTGCCCCCCGAGTATTGGAAGCTTCTGCTGGCACCAAATGCCTCCTTGATTCTTCCAGACAGCAGAAGCAAAAATGAAAGATTGTGGCTTTCTGTTTTTCCTTTCACTCTGCTTAATTAAAGTTTCCAGCAGATGGAGGGCTGGAGGGAATGTCTGACCTTTTTTCTCCAGCTGTCAGGAGTGAGCGTAGTAGAGGAAGGGCCCTCAGGAAGGACACTGTGGCTTTTGGTGACACCTGGGTGGAGGGTACTGTCTCACATCACATGGGAAGGTGTGGAGCTTCAACTGTAGTTAAACCTGGTGATGAATGGAAAAATTTGGTGTGGGAAAGGAGCAGGGGAACAAGGGCTTGGCCATGTCTCTGTAGCTGGGCAATGAAGCCTGGGGAAGGGAGAGAACCATTCCATTGTGCTCCCATTTAAATACTGCGCTGTCAAGCTTCCCATGGCTCTGTTGCTCTTCTTCCTATGTGCTTTTTCAGTGGACTGAAGCGCTCCTGCTCTGAGGGAAAAGGTTTTTTCTTGGCCTAGAGATATTAACAGCTTTTGGAGGTAACTTTCAGTCCCTTACTGTCTGTGAGTGCATATGCAGGTTTCTTTGTCCTTTAATGTTCTACTTTGTCCAGGTTTAAGTGCTATATTAAATTCTGTTGCCTTTCAAATCACTGCCAATATTATGAGGGAAACTGTTTCCTGGGGAAAAGGGGTCTGTAGGCCATTACTGACTAAGCAGTTGTAAGCAAGTCCACACTACTTATTTTTTACATCTCTACAACACATTTCATGAAGCCACTTATTTGCCTCGAGATTTACAATCTCAATGAGTATGTCAAATCCACTATGAAGGCCAGCAAATATCTTGGCTCTGTACTGGACTCCAGAATACCTGTGTGTGGTAAGCAGTTGTTTTCATAAAATCATAGAATCATTAAGGTTGGAAAAGACCTTTGAGAACATGTAGTCCAGCTGTCCATCTGCCACCCACAGTGCCCAATAAACCATGTTCCTCAGTTCCACATCTCCACGCTTCTTGAACACCTTCCAGGGACACTGACTCCCCCACCTCTCTGGGCAGCCTGGGCCACTGCATCACTGCTCTTTCAGGGAAGTTGTTCCTGGTGTCCGACCTGAACCTCCCCTAATGGCAACTTGAGGCCATTACCGGTCATTTTGTCCTGTCCTGTTTTATCTCTTATTTGGAATTATCACTGATCTTCATGCTTTGGAAATACATCTTCTCTACTATCCATCCTTCTGTCATCTGGAATTAATCCTGCTCTAGTCTCATTACCTCAGTATCTTTATTTAAGAAAGGATTGGGTTCTTTTCTGTTGGCAGCTCTTTTGAAGCTCCTCACTCTCTCACTCCTCCCCAGTCCTCTGTACTGGGCTATGCATAATGCTTCTCTGCCCGTCACAAAGATGAATGCCAGTGCATGGTTACAAAAGATTTCTTCCAGCAGCCCAGCTGTGCCCCTTCCCCAGCTGGCTCCCTGCTGCAGGCACAGCTCAGTGGAAGAGTGCTCATCCCAGCAGGATACCGTGCAATCACACTTTGAGAGCCTTGTGCAGCAACAAGACGATCAGGGACTTGGTATTTGCTTTGGTTAATGTGATCTGAAAGTTGCATGCAGAGAATGTTCCTCTGTCACGGATATGACGGCAGTAATGCGATTATGCTCTGTGTGTGGCTGAGCTGGGAAACAGCCTTCCCTTGCACATCAGTCAGTGCTGTGAGGATCTATTCCTGTCTGTCAGCGATGAAGAGAGTTGAGTCCTGTTGCTGATGCTAAATGAAGGTTGTGGTGATGCAAGCATGTCTGTATGAGTAAGGTTGTCATCACATAAAAATATAAATCACTACCTCATATCACATCTAATCTGAGTTTGTTCAATCCAGAGAGAGCTGATGAGCAGTTGTGTTGCTGTGTGACTGTTCTCATAGAATCATTAAAGTTGGAAAAGAATTCTGTCATCTAATCCAACTGTCCACCTACCACCAGTATTGCCCACTAAAGCATATCCCTAAGTACCACATCTCCATGTTTCTTGAGCGCCTCCATGGATGCTGAATCCACCGCCTTCCTGGGCATCCTTTGCTCTGTCCTGAGCAGCAGTCGGATGTAGGGTTTGTTAAATAATATTCAGCTGATCTGTTAATGGCTGTATATTTTAATATTAGACACTGCTTTTTATTAAGTGGATCTTGGGAGTTGTCACGCAGTGGCGTTTGACCACTGCTGGAAGTGGGATGCTACCTCTGATAACCATATCAGGTCAGAACACAGGTCTATTTGTATATTTTTTCTTTTTTTACAAGGAAAAGTAGTCTTAATGTCCAAGAATGGTAGTATAAGATGGTCCAAAGTGACAGACATTAAACTACTAAAGAGAAGTGTCTTTGTAGGTTGATGATTTTGCAAAGGCTATTCTGTGAGACCCCAAGATGAGTACTGTTTGGTGTTAGGCTGACTGCTTTCTCTCATTCCTCTATCACCTTTTAAAATTAAATTGTGGTTAAACAGACAAGCTATAGAAGGAACTCCATTCTACACAGCGGTGGAGAATCCGTGAAGAAGCGTAGCACTTTGATTAGGAAACTGCTATAAAGTATACTGGGTGAGTGAGAGACCTGTGCTTTGTTCCTGGCTCTGCTATTGATGCAGTATGTGACCTTGGGCATTTCCCCCTCCTTTTTTTTCCTGAGTTTTCTTCCTGGGAGAATAAAATAATGACACACCACAACCTTCACACAGCTTGAAATGGAGTGAAATATGTGTACTAGGAGCATTTTCTCTTCAATCTAGTTCTTCTGACTCATCCATTAAAACCAGGGGCAGAAAGGGAACTTGTAAAAGCTAAATTATGGCAGCACAAACAGTTTTTAACAAAGAAACACCAAACACTGTTGGCTGTCCACACTGTTCCACATAAGCTCGTTACCACACAGTTGAACAACAAGCTGCCTGTGCACCAACACTTGCCTATGCAATTGCATACCATCTCATGATGTGCTCTTAGGCTGTCTTCTCTGTGCACCTGCTGCACACCCTCCTGTTAACAGCTTGTGCATGCAGCCATTCCTCTGTGTCTGCTCACACCTGCATACATTCTGCACACACACACACCTGGTGCTCCCATGCGTACATTAACAGTCACAGTGTGGTAGTCAGCATTTTATGGGGATTTTTTTTGGCTGGACTTCTTCAGAGACTGCAGTTTCATATAAGTATTGCTATTTATTACCCCCTAAATTTAGGGTTATTAATTATATCAGTATAGCCTAATTTATATCACCATACACAGCAATAATAAATAGTGCCAAATGCTAAAGTGCAGTGCTTGCCAACTGTGCCGAGTGCTTCCCCCCCACTTCCCAGAAGTATTAAATTAAAAATGATTTAGCCTTGCAAGATAATCAAACAAGACTTGGGAACTCCTAGATAAGTGCTTTTGATTTAAAAAATATTTCACGTGCAGACTTCTCATGCACAATCTGTCTTTTGAGTATCCAAAAGTCCTGAACTGCTCAATATCTCAGTTCTGAGTTCGTGTCTCTCTCCTACATTGCCACCTTCTTCTTTTTCCTTTACTCCCTTTCACGTTTCCTTTTCTCTTCTATCTATCCTTTTCTCACTCTTCTTTCTCTACTATTGAATCGAAGCTTTTCAATGAGAGGAACTTGATGTGTTTTTGTAA